CTTTGGACCTACCTGGATAGAAGTAAGTGAACCGAGTAATTCACTTTACTTGGTCACATTCTTGCTCTGGGTCTAGTTTAACTCACATCTTAACCCAGGCTTTCCAAAATAAACTGTTCTTAGAGCATCCTCAGTGAATCTGAGGGCACAAGGAAAATCCTGGGTTCATGTAAAGATGGGATTAATTTATACTCACCCCCACAACCCAAACAGGGATCATTACAGCAGTGTGCTTTGGAGACTGTATTTGGAATATGACTTTAAGAGAAACATCAAGATTTCTCAACAGTGATGAATTCGTGGAGAATGGCCTGAGGCTGGTCTAGGCTGCTCTCAGGGCATCTGCTCTGCTTTTCTCTTGATTTTGTTCCTTTGTGTTTGGTTAGAATTAGACTGACCAGATGCGTGGTAATTTTGTCTGTAAACCAACTATAATTGGCATGTTTTTGATTCACACTTTTTTATTGTGATATGCCATGGGCATATTAAAACTTCTTGTGTGGCTTACTATCACTAATTTTTAAAAGTTGTTACATTTCAACTGCTGCTAATGGTGTTACTCTTGGACTACTCTAGGATATGCATTTAAAAATACAAAACAGATGTTTCAATGCCACTTCACTTAAAAAAAAAATCAAAAGGTTTAAATCAAAGTATTGAATTAAATCCACCCAAGAAATAGTTATTAACCTATAATATTATCTAACATTAAGTTGTGATAAGTGGCTTCCAGGTTGGAAACATTAGAATTTAATAGTCTTTGATTTTTCCTTCTCTCTTTAAATCCCAGCTGCTACCAATTCTTGCCCATTCCACCCTTGATTAACATCTTTTACACTCATAAACTTTTTTTTTCTTCCCACTGGTATCAACCTACTGAAGGTTCTAAATAGGTCTTCCTGCTTCCATTCTCTAGATCCTCTCTGTAATTTACCTACCATATCACTGCTAGATAAAGGTTTCTTATGCATGGTTGTATCATAATGCTCCATGGTACACACCTCGATGGCCCCTATCAGCTACTAAATCAGTCAATAAACATTTCTTAAGCATCTACTAAGTGCCAGGCACTGTGCTAAGCACTGAGGATATAAAAAGAGGCCAAAGACAGTCTCTGCTCTCCAAGAACTACTGTTCAAATTTCTTTGTCCCTTAATCAAGGGTCTCCAACATTATTACACTTAGAAAGTACTTAGCAAGTGTTTCTTAAACTATTTCATTTTTACTTTCCTCCACAGTGGAACAGTGAATATAACACTGGGCCTGTGGTTAGGAAGACCCGAGTTCAAATCCAGTTTCTGACACTTTTTTTAGCTGTATATGATGTTAGACGAGTCACTTAACCTCTTCTGCCTCAGTTTCTTTAACTATAAAATGGAGATAATAATAGTACCCACTTCCTATGGTTGTTGTGAAGATCAAATGAGACAATATGTGTGAAGTTGGCACTTTGCCTGGTAAGCAGTAGGCATTTAATAAATGCTTATTTCCATATTCCATTCCCTTCCAGATACTTTACAGGGTAGCCCAATTAGATGACTTCATTTCTCAAACTTGCTCAGCACTTGTCTGTCTTCAGGCCTCTCTGCTTGAGGGAATCCTTTTTATTTAATGTTATCCCCACCTTCTCATGCTCACTCTTTACAGCCCACACATGAAAATCAGCAATGCGCTTCTCCCTAGACCACACAAAGTGACTTATTATCCACTCCATAATACTTGTCCTGTAATATTTTTACTGATAGTTGTTGGTATTTGGGTCTTACAGTAAGGTACTAGATAGTAAACTCTATGAAGGAATAGGTTCAAGTCTCCTATTTCCACACCCATCATGTGTACCAGTAAAAAAGTGAGGTTCTGAATGCACAAACGGGAGGCATTCCCCTTCTCTAAAAGGGCCCTGTTTCCTCTGGGAATAAATACAGGCTCCTCCTTCATGCTCTAGCTCCGACCTACCTTTCTTGACTTCTATTTTTGTCCCCTTGACACATTCTGCATTCGGTCCAACTGACCCCAGGCTTCCTATTCCTCACACATAAAATCCCATCTCCCTAAATTGACACAGGATGCTTGCCAGGTTGGCTGGCCCTCCTCCCTCACCTCTGCCCCAGAATCCTGAGTTTCCTCCCAAGTCCAGTGCCACCTCTTATGGGAGGTTGTTCCTGATTCAACCCGGATTGCCTCCTCTCAAACGTGGCTTGCACTTCCTTAGGAAGTGTTTCACATTTTCATATGGTTTGTGTGTTGTTTTCCCTGAGAAGCTATAGCTTTTTTGAGGCTAGGGATGGTTTCATTCTTACTTTTATATCTTTAACACACAACACAGTGTCTAGTACATAGTAGGCACTTCATAAATGCATTGTATTTCTTCCCAGCATCCAGAATCAGGCTCTGCACAAAGTAGGCACTAAATATATAAGCTTCTGCTCCATAAAGGAACCTTAGATGAAGTAGGAAGACAATTGAAGGAGAGAGAGAATGACACATATACTACCAGAATCATCTTACTGACTCTACTGGATGGATAAGTATTGGGCTTTGATAAGCCATTTTAATTTTAAATTAACTTCACTGGGTAGTTCTGTATTACTTATACATTGTATTGATGCAAATGTTTGCATTGTTGGCCAGGTCTAAATAGCTTGAGTGGCCTGATTAACTGATTAATTCAGGAAACAGAGAGGGGGCACATAAATAATTCAGAACCAAAGAAATTATCTCTGTGGGCTATCCCAATTTATCAAAGAACAACAGTTTGCAAAATGAAAGACTACTACCCAATAGTAACTTACAATAAGAGTAAACTGTAATATAGAAGTTACATGCAACAATGAGTCTGCAGTAGTTTGGCAAATACGCCTTGTTGGAGGAGACTGTTTTACTTCATATTAGGACGCAGAAAAGTCCTAAGGCACTAAAAAATCCGAACATAAGAAGCTGTACTTAAGTAAAAGCAAGCCTGGTGATGAATATCTGAACAAAGCAGCTCCAGACTCAAGTCATTACTCTGAAGGAACCTGGGTTCCTTCTGTAGTGCTGTAGCTTAAGAAGTGTGCCAAAGAACCTACTGCAGTATCTGTTTTAACAGTGAATTACCAGTGACTGAACTGAGGTTAATAACTCCATCAACAGGCTTCCATAGGGTTAACCCCACACAACAAACGCACAGTCTAGTGGGACAAGGTGCATCGTGCATTTAGTAAGGGCCTTTTCTTTGGCCAGGCAGTGAGCCCAGCTCTGAGGCTGTGAAGACAAGAACTCAGTGGTCCTTGGCTTTCAGTGGCTTCTCTTCTACTGGGGAGAAACAACATGAGAATGCAGGCGAGTTAAAAACAAATGTCTGTTTCCAGGGGCTGGGGGGGACTGACACTTACATCAGCTTAGGATTCATGTAGGATGGTGACCTTGAGCTGAGCCTTGAAGGAAGTCACTCTTTCAAAATGAATACAGGCAAAGCAAGTTTCATGTTACTAAGAGTTCCACAAAAACATTTTTTTTAATGAAAAGACAAAACAGAGAGTATAGAATCCCATGGGACCTATGTTAGAAAGGGATTATCAGACAAATGATGCTAACCCAGTGCATTTATACTTTATGGTGCTGTTTGGTTATAATGCATTAAGAATATCATTGTTCATAATATTTCAGGGCACTCATACAGAATATAGCTAGGGATGAATAGTCTCTTTACCTTGAAAAGTAGTTTCTAGTGGATTTTACATTCTAAACTCAAATAGGGATAAGAATAATAGACCACTGACTAGCACAATCCACAAAAAGTAGGCTTTTGTTTTACTATATTATAGTGACCACCTTGTTTCCTAAGACATTTCTCTCTGTTACTTCCCAATTTTACCTTCATTAGAATAAGTATATATCCTTCCAAGGTGACTACTTTGAAGACAAGAACACTCATTTAGATGCATAAGCTATAGTAAGCTTGTTTTAAAAATACACACAACAACAAACCCCAATCACTTTCATTACAGTATAGTCATACTCCATATGCTAATCATGTCTAGCAATGAAAGTCTATTGAAAGGTCTCAGACTAGAAGCTAAGTCCACAAGTTTTGCTTTGTTTTGTTTTTAACATAGGTGCAAGAACAGAAAGAATTGAAAATACATCTTTTTCCCTTGGGTGAAAAATTTATACTGTAATATACAATATACCTATTTCTGGGGAAACGGACAAAAATCTTTATAGGTCCCCTTTTAAAGCAGCTTTCAAGGACTGTATGAAACTTAATTATGAAAGATTACAAATGAGATGATTTGTAATTGGAACCAGCTGCAGTGTATATTGGAAAGCATAAATACAAATAGAATTATTTTCTCTTACTACAAATCATAAAACTCTGGACCTGAACTTGAGGGGGAAATTTACCTTTTAAACTATTTTTTTCTTTTATTTAAACAGTCTTCCCTTAACAGTGATGAGAGAAATATCTGATGACTGACTACGTTTTGAATAGAACAGTAAACTACAATTTTTTTTTTAATCTACAGAGAATTCAAAGGTGGATATTCTAGTTTGGAGCTTCTTAACCTTTTTAATGCCATGGACCCCTTTGGCAGGCAGATGAAGCTTCTATGCCTTTCTCAGAATAAAGTTTTTTTTTTAAAATTCACAATGGAAGGAAATGCTCGATTTCAGTTAGAGGCTAGTGAAAATAAAGATGTATTTTTTTTTCTAACCAAGTTCATGCACTGCCAGAAATTTATCCACACACCAGTAGGCTATAGGGATTTCAGAGAACTCCTATGGAAGGTCCATGACTTGTCCAAGGTCATAAGAATGGTAAAAGGCAAAGCCAGGATTTAAATTCAAGTTTTATTTCCCCATCTAAATCCCATACCAGATTCGTTATTTGAGGCCAGTTCCAAATTACACGGTACTCAAGGAAGAGAATTTTGAGGTGGAAACCCTTCTGTGTAAAGGAAAGGAACGAGCCCAATGAAATGCAATGCTCCTATGGGTGAGTGGGGATGCTTCTTTACCTGGGGAGGACGGCTGGGGGGTGTGCTTATCAGAGGTGCTGGACCCATAGCGGAGGCTGCATTCAAACTCCTTTCCCTTTCATCCTGGTAAATTCGATCTCTTTCAGCTTCCGGCAGCTGCAAGAAGTTCTGCATAGCCCGGAGGTTAACCAGCAAAGACTGCGAGGCAGTCTTGGGGTCCTCTTCCTTTCGGAGGATTTCTGAGAGCAAGCCCTGCAGGGGAATGAAGACGAAAGCCTGAGCTTGTGCCTGGGTGTTGGGGAAAGCACACTGTGCCAAGCGATCCCTAAGTATTGCTTTTTCTATTCCACTACGTTTAGAAAATGAACAGTCAGAGGCATTAATTCTGCATAGGAATATATTAGTGACAATTTAGGTGGTGTAGAAGAGAGCCTCAATTGTATTCTTAATTTTATTAAGCATCTGCTTTACATACAACATAAACTGAATCTGCCTAATTGGTCTCCTTCCTTTTAGTGGCTTAACTTGCCATGAAATCTTTCACAGTAAGACAATTGAGAGAAGTGAAGATGAAGTGAAATCCTCAGCTCAGCAACATTAGATTGCATAGTTCTCATGCTGGCTAGACCAAAGCTGCAGAAAAATCGGCGGTTCAATATGGAAAGGGGAAAAAAAAAAGCCATCTTGAGAAAGGAAAGACGGACTTTAAAGGAAAATGCTTCAGAAATTTGATTAAACAAATAAAAAAAAACACTCCCAAGGCACCACTTTAGAAGCATTAAAAATATTGCACATTAGAATATAACCAGCTCAAATTATTTAAAAATAAGTGACACCAATTGGCCTTTCAATTTTATACTGGAGAATTACACTGCAATACTCCAAATACTTTCAAATACTATCCTGCTATACCAGTAATCTAATATGTGTAATGCTGAAATTTTGAACTTCAGAAGACGCAGATGTAATTTGAAATACATAACTGCTTTTCCACATTACAAGGATCCACAGTAGAATGTTAATGAAAAGAACATTTGTCCTTTTATGAAAATAGAATTTAAGATGTTGTATAGAATATCTGCATTTCCTAGATTACTAGCACCTCAAGTAAATCATATTAGTAATTTCTAGGCTAAGAATGGTCATCAGCAATATGAGAAAATTATCACGGCAAAAGAGAGCTTTTATGATTGATTCCCCCATCAAGGAGGTCATTATTATTTTATGACAAATTCTTTTATAGTTTTTGAAGAATGCTTTTAAGAAAGTGAAGATTTCCTTCTAAATGTTTCAGTTAATTTTTTTTAAAAAATTTCTATTTTTCAAGGACTGAACTTCCTTCCCTTTTTCCATCTCCAATCCCTTTGTGTGGAATAATGTCGGGATCACCAGAGCTGAATTTGTTTCTCTGCCAACAAAATGGAGCCAGACATCAGAGATCTGATAGATGAGGAGGGCAAAGTCTGCAAGTGGCCATCGACACTTGATGCCCCTTTCCAAAGCCTTCATAAAAATACTATTGGAGGTGAGGAACAAGAGTCTAAGGCATGGGACAATTTGGTAAAAAAGGAAGTAGTCTTTAAATGTTATGGCATTTTAAAAGCTTATCTGCAAATTCCTTTTTCTTCTTTTTTTTTAATCTGCTAAAGTAGATCACTGTCCAAATAGCTGGGTGCAAACTTGATGAAAACAACACTTTCTTTAAAATTCAAGGTAAGAAGTTTGCATATAATAGGGGATGGCTTCTAAATAAACACGTTCATATTTTGTGCCTATTGCACAAACTATGTCATGAGAACAGCCATAATGACTATTAAGTATGACTTAGTTGTAACTTCAAGAGAAGTGCACAAATTAGATTGAAAAATGAGAACAGAGCTTTGAGGTACTTGTATTAGGCAAAGACTGTTCCTCTACAATGACAAAGCCTGCAGTTAATTCAATTAAAATTCGAACAAAAAGTATCATCAGTCATCCGGATTGTTTATCCATATGACGTCAAATAGTTGGTTCAAGAAAATTTGTGACTGAAATGATTTAGCACGTGATATCATAGTGACATAGCCTAAGAGATTTCTTAAAAAAATAAAAATGAAGATTAGGGAAACATTTCCCTCTTTCTGTCCATGTTTCATTTTGCCCAAATACATATGGACGATTCCATAGATAATCATGAAAAGAAAGCAGGCAATAGAGCGAGAGAGGCTGTAAAATGGCTCCATGTATGAGAGGCACACATGTTAAATGCACATCATCTATATTATATTCTTATTAAGTGAAATGTATGCAGAATACAAAAACAGCGTAAAAAGGGTGACTAGTCAACCCTAATACTGATGGATAGAAAATTCAAAGTTAACACTTCATTGAGACCTTATGAGAGTCTTGGGGAGATTACAGTGTGGTAGACATGACCCAAACGAGCAGGCTATGGGACTGAGTGGTTTGAAAGGAATCAAATAAATATCTTCTAGGCAATTATATGTGGGAAGCTTGATACTGGACTTTAAAAAAAATGAGACTGCTTTTTTTTTTTACGTACAAGGTTGGGGAGAGGTTCTATGTTTCGTTTCTTCCTGCATCTAAGATGAAAAAAGTCCTGGTTTGGATTAAGAAATGAGGCACCATGGCTACTGAATAAAAAAAGCTGTCTCAAAGTTTAAGGAGTTGGTATAAATAAGTTTTATTGCAGGTCTCTCCTATCAATTACTAGCTATACTTAAATATTTTGGAGGAAAAAAAATTATTTCCATTCAACATAATTATCCTAGTGGGTCAAGTGCTTAATTTTTGCCTTAAAAATTCTTGGGGAGAGCTGAATTATTGCCAAAAGCACTAAAGTGACTGTAGGTAGGCCAGTGTAGATAATACCAGATATTTTGAAACCAGTTTACCCATTGCTTTCAATGGGGGGAGTGCCCCCTGGTGGACAATGCATGGGAAAAATAGCTACAAAACATTCTGACCACAGTTTATGAATATGTTAAAAACATGATTAGGCCACTTTGGAAAAATTCTCTCAGAATATAGGTGTCAGGATTTAACTACAGGAAAACACTTGAACAAATAAGTTGTTTTTGTAGGTATGGCCACTGTGTTTTAGTTTGCCATTATAGTTGGGAATACATGGAGACTTGCCAATCTAAGGGGTTACTTCAAAATGTACAATGGTCATTCAGTAACAAAAGCTCCTCAGAGAAGGGCCCAAGATGAACCTGCCTTCCGATGATTTCTGCTTCACGGCTCAATAATGTCATAACACAATCCCAGAGTACCTGCCACTTATTATCTGAGGTGCTGAAATGTCTGGATACAAATTTATTGAACATATTTAACACCCTTATTACTTTGTCCAGTTTTGGGGAAAGGAAACTTGTCCCTAACATCATGCTGAAGTCACAGTCACATCAGTGGTATATGTGCTTGGGTGGCCAGTCCTCAAAACCTCACATCTCACAAAAGTTAAAATGTAGATGCTACAAGATTCTAGCCTACCATGGCAGTAAGACCAGTATCTCATACGCTACATTTGAGACCTTAAAAGGCACATTCCTATTATTCATCAAGGGCAAGGTCCTTACATGGTATCTACATCACCAGTTTTAAACACACACACACACACACACACACACACAATTTTTACCCATCATTAAAAATATATATATATATATATATATATATATATATATATGTATGTATATATACATACACACACTAAAATCAACCCAAATGTTTTTAAAAGGGCAAGAATAAAAACTAAAAGCACAGAAAAACTTAGCTAGTTTGGAACAGCACATCTACTACCAGTTTTACCCATTTCCCTTCTTTAAAGCCCTATTGTGATGCTTCATTCTGATACAGAAATAACCCTGAGTTCTTAAAAGACTTGCTGGCAGAGAATAAGCTCTAAGCCTGTGCACTAGCTGTTTTTCTCATGCCTGGAATGCTTTCCCTTGCAGCATCAGACCCTTAGAATTCCTCTATTCCTGTAGTATTCATATTCAGCTCATGTCTCTTCCTGGTCCTCCTGGTTGCTAGGGCCTGCTTCCCTAAGATTACTTTTCAACTAATATATAGTTCTTGTATGTGTCCTGATATGTAGGTATATGTGCATATATACATAAGTGTATATACATATATATATGTGAATGTGTATTTCCCCTCATTAGAATGAATGTAAGCACCCTGAGGGCAGAGGTTCACTTTAAGTATGGGTCCAGTGATAGATTCTGTTTGTTGTGTGAAGGCTAGTATGAAACAGTTCAAATGGTCACATCGCAAGGATGAGAGACGACAGATGGACAGTCCATTGGTACTCTCAATCAGGAGAAAGGAAGGAAGGCCTCTAGAACATTAGGTGGACCCACTGTCAGGAACGTATGGGAGGGGACAGAAAAGGATTACACTAAGGATAGGCAGGCACAGGCAGCCTGCATTGTTAGGTCTAGTCTAGTGAGTAGAGCACTGGGTCTGGAGTCAGGGAAACCCGAGTCCAAATTTAGCTTCAGATACTCACTAGCTGTATGATCTTGGGCAAGTCAAAAACTTCTGTCTGCCTCAGTTTCCTCATCTGTAAAATGAAGATAATAACAGCACCTACCTACCAGGGTTGTGATGAGAATCAAATGAGATAATGTTTATAAAGTGCTTAGCATAGTGCCTAGCACACAGTAGGTGCCCTATAAATGCTAATTACTGTTATTATTATTTATTATTAGTCATCATCATTATTGAAGGTATAGAAGGTGAAATTATAGAAGCTTGAATTACGAAAGGCCTTTCCCCTTGCTGGAGGTTTTTTAAGTGTTAGTCTATAGATTTTGAAGCCGTTATTATCATAGAGAAGTTTCAAATTAGTTTGCAACTTAGGTTCAACTTAGGTTGGGAAGTGAAAGTTTAAACTTTTTCCAAAGAAAAAATGAATTTACAAAGAGATTCCTAAGCCTGTTTATTTTTATATTCCCAAAGAAGAGTTTGCAAGTCATCACAAGCATAGTTCATTACTAATTGTAAAAAAATGTTCAATAAATATTATCAGTACTTTCCAAAACTAATTAAGAATTCTTTAAAAGAGCAGATAAATGAAAGTGTCTGCCAATTTGAACAAAAACATAGCCTGTCTGGCCTCCACTTTGTCTCCTCTTTGAACATAATCACTGATTCAGATAGATTTTTATCAGCTTCATGGAACTTCAAAGCATGTACAAAGAAAATATGATTTGACAAAACCTCCCCCAAATATGTAAAGCACC